TATATATATATATATATTAAATGTGTGTTTTCGTTATTTACACATATATTATAAACCCGGGCCTAAACCCCAAACCGGTACCCTAAACAAGGAAGACCTCGGACCAGCTGTTCCAGAAGCGCCTATGGTCGACTGCCATGTCGAAGCCGCATGCCAGCATGCAAGCAACCATAATATTGCATGTGCACGGGTATACGTGTTCTGAGGGCCAGCAGGATGATGTGAACATGGCTGCACAGCTGCAGCAGGAGGTTTCCAGGTCGCAATCAATGATATCAATCGAAAGGATATATCGAGATCTCATGATCTAAGGCCCATGATGATGATCTGATGGCTTTGCGGGGCGACCCTAGCCTGCATAGTGTCACTTAGTACGTGTTTTGATCTGCCATGCTCGAGGCTTTTTGCGTACATCGCTAAGGGACTGAATGCTGTACATATGCATGTACACGACCCGGTCGATGACCATGCCGCCTCTAGTGTGGCATTAGTTGCAATTATAATTAAATTCTGCTCGCGATATCGCTGTGTGTCATATATTCGAAAAGCTTGAAAACACGATCCGAGGATGGCCATGATGTTCCGCGACCAACCGACACGCAGATGGAGGAGTTGGACAGGGAGCATGCCGCAACTCATTCCGCATTGCATAATTATTAACATGAGCACGATTATGCTTCGAAGTCGCATGTGTGCCGGGTTCGATCATGTCACAGCTGGTGCTTCTACTGCACAATTGTACTGTTGCATCGAGATCAGGTTCCGGAACAGGATGGGCCAGCCGCCACTCAGGAAACATCGACAGCTTGCCCGATGGCTTTTTGGCTAGTACATAGATTGTGCGAAATCTAGACACATGTTGATATTCCCAAAGGGTCCTATAAGTACCTCTAGTAGAATGTAGGGTTTCTATATGAGGAATTACTATTATGATTCGAAGTATCCCCCCATAACAGTACACGGGACCCTTTGGGATTTGTTTGTGTGGACCAGTACGTTTAACTCGTACATAGCGGTATCGTCGATGTGTACGTACGATACATACATGTACATGTACAGCATGTGTTCAGTTTACTATATTTATACATATATATATATATACACATGTACATACATATATAGTTATCTCTATATATATGTACACATATATATATATATATATTATCTATGGCTAGCTAACTGTATATGTGCAATGATCGAATAAATGACATCAGATATCGTCCTAGTATACGGTGCATGTACATATAGCTAGTACGTGTATGTTTTTTCTAGGCCTGCTAGATCATACATGTATATATACAGCACGCATAAGTCGGCAGGCTTCGACAGCTGATCAGACGAGGATGGCTTCGCTGCATGGATGCTCTGATGCAGAACGCGAGGCCTTTTGGGCCGGCTGCACGTGTGTAAAAACATCTTGCATTTGCATTAAAACCGGAGTGTGGCATGGTAGTAATATTATTAGCTATAGTACTAGTACAGTTTGCAAATAAATACAAATCAAAATCGTATATATATATATATATACATATATGCATATATGTCCATATGTATATGTTATATATGTGTACATTATATGTATATATATATATGTATATATACCATTGCCCTGCTGCAGGCCCGAGCGGTGGCCATGGCAACATCCAATGGGGCCTTTAAGGCAGCCTGGGCAGCATATGTTTATTCAACATTCAATTTAGATCTCGTGTTGCTGCTCTAGCTATCAACCCTCACACCCAATTCAACCGTGATAGTCGGGATGAGATCCATCGCGACCTACATGTGTCCATTGATTGTAGTATAGCCCATTATCCCTAGTATGCTAGCCGGTTCATTGGGGACACTAGTACTAGACCCTAAGCCCATGGCTCCGAGGCCATATTATGACGTTTTGAATTTATATGCATGAAAATAGTTTACAAATATTAGTACTTACCGTGTGTATATACACGTACACTTTATTGCTAATATATTATAATATAATAATGTACGAGGATGTGCACAGTTGTGCTTGGACGGTACCCGTACAGGTAGTTAAAAAGCCCTATTTATAAGCGTAAAACATATATATATATATAATACTACTGTTCACCATTTAGATTTCGGTCTCTCCCCTATATATAAATTATAGGCCTAACAGCTAGCTAGTACGTAGTACTGTACCTAAAGGCCCCTTTACATATATATATATATATATATATATTGTTTAAGATTTGTCCCGAAAACTATTAAATATATCAATTGGGGGGAAAGATTTGAGGAAATCAGACCTAGCTACATATACGTACAGTGTTGTGTTCGAAATTCGTGAGGGCTTCTATTCTTTAGGGTCGAGGTTTAGCTTTGTGGAGCCTTCGGCTAAGCACGCTAGGCTGCCCGAGTAAATTTAGAAATATGTGCCGGGTTGAAGCAGGGAAACATAGGATGATGTGCTGCACCGACTGGTTCATTCCTTCCAGGCATTGCGGGTCTTGCTAAATCTATTAGGTTACCAACTAGTATAGTCCGATATTAGATAAATGCTAGCAACTTTCGAGCGAACCACGCCTGAACCCGAAGATTAATGCAGGAATGCCGCACCATCGAAAAAAACGAGGATCGGTCGCCGCTGATTGCAGAGGCCAGCATCCCGCCATTCCCCTTCGAGGTGATGATGCCTGATGCCAGTGAGATGTCTGATTTGAGAGCGGGTCAAGCTGCCCTGCGAAAACGTCATCGGGAGGACAGCCCAGTGACTGCAGTGTTGCCATGATTAGCAGTATTATTAGCATATAATACCTGTCCGGCAGGAGGAGGCTGCTAAAGCACTCGCAAAGGCCGCGAAGAAGCATTGCAATGCTGCTACCACGGCTCCTCAGCTATATTAATACCAAATGTGACGTGTACAATAGTACAACTTTGTTTTTTTGGCGAGCTGGCAGTGCTGTACTGCAAGATGCCGACAAAACTAGACGGCAGGAGCCAACTGTGCAGCACCCCGAAAATGAGAAGGAGCCCGAGGAAACCGTGCACCCCGAGAAGGAGAAGGAGCCCGCTGCAAGGAGCGAGCCGACTGTGCACCCCGAGAAGGAGAAGGAGCCCGCTGCAAGGAGCGAGCCAACCGTGAACCCCGAAACTGGAGAGATCAAGCCGACTGTGGACGCCGAAAAGCAGGAGAAGGAGCCGGCTGGACAGATCAAGCCGACTGTGGACCCCGAAAAGCAGGAGAAGGAGCCGGCTGGAGAGATCAAGCCGACTGTGGACCCCGAAAAGCAGGAGAAGGAGCCGGCTGGAGAGATCAAGCCGACTGTGGACGCCGAAAAGCAGGAGAAGGAGCCCGCTAGAGAGAGCCAGCCGACTGTGGACCCCGAAAAGGAGAAGGAGCCCGCTGGAGAGAGCAACCTGACTGTGCAGGACCTCGAAGATAATTAAGAATAGCCCGCTGGAGAGAGTAAGCCGACTGTACATGTGCAGGAAGCCAAGCCGATGCAGGAGGCCGAGTCTGACGAGCCCGCTGAAGACGCGGCCGTGGAGCAGCAGCAGGGTGTCGATGCGAAGGTCCAAGCGAATCTTGCGGTTCTGATGGGAGATTCAGAGCTGGACGACTGCAGACCGAATCCTGGGCAAGCTTTCGACTGGGACAAATTCAGCAGAAAGAGACTTTGCTGCAAACTCCCGACCTAGGATACGTACTAAGCTTATTAGCTCCCCAGTGTTCACTAGTACTCTATATTTAGTAATATTATAAATTAATAGTTCGAACACATACATGTATATATATATATATATATTATTGTTATAATATATCTGAATCCGATCCCCTATTAACCTAGCTAGCTAGCTTCAGGAGTTTCTCCGTGCCCGTGCCGGCCACAGCCGTGTCGACGGATGCCAAATCGATCACAGTACTGCTGAATTCCGGCGGCTTCTATGTCAACAAGACCGTGGTGAAAAAACCGGACTACAAGGCTATACGGCCGCAAGAACCAGGGATCTACAGTGTACGCTAGATGGCTAGCTCGAAGATCGCGACTGGCCTGTCTAACTTAGGTAGATCGGAAGAAAGGTACCACAGTATCATGGAAGAAGAACCTGAAGAAGAACACGTGTTCCCTAGGAAGCTTGCGACTCTGACGCAAAAAGACTTCCGAACATGTCGTATAATATATGCAACCGTGCTGCAATCCAAGGTGGCACACCTGCAAGGTCATGGCTGGCTGGGTGAAGCTCCTTAGCTGAGGACAGTACTCTACATCAGTTTCGACTTATGCAACTAAAACTAGGTAGGTGGACTAGCTATATCTATACCTATATGCAGATAAAGCTATGATATCGATCGGTGCTCGGGGCCGGTTGCTTCGGTTCAGACTTCGAATAGTACGTTATCGGCGAAGCCGGGTTTGGGGTTGCAAGCTTAGGTTCTGGGCCTCGGTATTAGAATTTAAAGTACGGTTCGCAGCACCAAGCACGTGGCCTACGAACCCTGTACCTAGCCCATTGAAGCCGAAGCCCTTCTTCTCGTATATTCTTTCTAAATTAAAATCGCTACCTAGATCTACGTTTTTCCCTTATACATGTAACATGTACAGTATATATATATATATATATATATATCCCAAAGGGTCCAAGCTATAGTATAGTATATACTTTGGGGGCCCAAATACCTACAAAGTAGCTACCATATCAATACTTGGACCCTTTGGGATATATATATATATATATGTAAACCCCAAGTATATGCCTTACTCGAATGCATGCCAAGGCCGGACGACGCTTGAAGCACGCAAGGCAAGGTTCCGGTGTTTCGGATCTTACAGCAGTACATTGTCTGATCCTTCGTCACCCATGGCATGAGGGTTGCCGATGAGGTACTAGCTACAGAGCATGGGGGGATTAGGATTAAATATATAGGCCTAGGAGACCGAACTCCGAACCCGAAACCTGCACGCCACCCCTGGATCGTAATGACTAATTTACTATAGATGTGTCCAGGCAAGGCCCCCGGAGTGTCATCGCGATCGATGGTCTAGCCATAGGCCTGCATGCAGGCCTAGCTTACAACATAATAGTCCTGACAATTAGTGGTTATAAAACTTGAACGCTTTTCAGTGCCAATAATGCTTGTAACGCTACTAGCTCGTACTCGGTCTTCGGCTGAATGGGCATCCCTAGAGGTTCGATAGGAAGCTCACAGTATTGGGGGATGATGCAATTAGCTTTTTTTGCTCTGTCTAGAAAAAGGGCGAGGAATGTATCGTTGCAAAGGTGTGTATAGCTTGTAGTTATTTGTAATTAATATATATATATATATATGTGTATAGGTTATGTGGTCCTCTCAGTTCAGGGATTTGGGACTGGGAGAACTCGAGTCTGAGGCTCAATAACCCAACACACCCGTAAGTCCAGCTCAACCACTAGGCCTAGCCGAAGCCCCGTTGTCGCTACTACCCACACCTTTTGAATTTGCAGGCCAGGGTCAAGCATATGGTATCCGTAGTCCCCACACTTCAGTACCGGCAGGCTACCGCTGCACCCGCCGTGGCCATCCGTGGCCTTCGAAATTCATGATCACAGACGGGCCGGTCAGGACGTGGCCCCAGTACGCGGGAACATCGGTTTTGAGGTTTAGGGGCAGGGCCGGTACAGCTTAAATTGCACGTACCCGGTAATAGTTGAGGCATTATAACAATATATATATATATATACATACGTACCTAAAATAAAATTAATGGGGCTTGAGCTTATCCTGGGCTTGCTGCATGCCCACGCTATTGGGGTTACACATTAAGATTTGCTGGTTCCTGAGCAGGAGAAGCTAGCTGTATAGATTTGTTTCGGGACTTAGTGGGTCTAGGAGTCTAGGAATTATCAGTTCAGCTAGCTATAGTTCTAGATTAGCTACTACGAACCCTAAAAATGTCGAACACGTGTTTTGGGACGACTAGTACTGCACTGTACTGTTACAGGATTCACTAGCTAGCTAGACTATTCTCTCTCTCTCTCTATATATATATATATAGGGCATGAGGAATCATGACGGTCATAACGTTCTACCTTGAATATTCAGGTATAACATGGTTCCTAGCGATATAAATGACTAGTCCATACTGGTGCCGTCCGAACATATATATATATATATAGCATCATGTGCTGGTAGCACTGCAGCTTGCAGTTATACGTATACACAAGCAACCACACGGAGCTACTAATTAAGTCGTCTGCATGTTGCACATGCGGAAGTTACACAGCACGCACTAATATATTATAGTACATATATGTGTGGTGGTACCGGTGTCTTCGTAGGTATACGTAGTACATGTATATCTATATCTATATACATCCGGATCCATCATCACTGCAGTCTTCAGGTTTTTATTATATTAATATCAGTACTATATACCCTGGGCCTATAGACGTAATTATAGCTTACAATTTTATACTGCTCCTCCCGCAACCCGCCTTGCAACACCGCCAACCACTGGCAGCTGGACGGTCACCGGGCCCTGATTGCAATGGTAGGGCTGAGGGTGCTTGTCAATTTAGGTATGTAAACATGCTTCAGGGGCAGTAGCACGCAGCAGTAGTGGTAGTCGTTTGTAGATTCCCAAAGGGTCCAAGTACTAGTATAAGTATATACTAGTGGGCCCAAATACCCACTAGGTACGTACCTACTATAATGGTACCTGGACCCTTTGGGATTATTAAATATTATTAATATAATACACTATAGCTATCGAATATATATATATATATATATATATTATAGATCCCGAGGTGCAAGCAGACGTAGTAATAGTCGTAATGTATATATACGTACATACATAAATACGTATTTCCCAATATTTATATATATATATATATATATTGAGAGAGAGAGAGAGAGCATACGATAGTTAGCATACCTAGTATGTAGTCGTATTATCTTCAAATTAATTAAAGTACATAGGTATCGTAGCAGTATTAGCTGTTGTGTTCGTCGTAGTACTAGCATGATACGTATAGCAGTATACTCGTATGCAAAAAAGTGTAACCGTCGTCGCCGTCGTCATGATCGTATAGAGCAGCAGCTAGACGCTAGTATAAGATGTATTTGTATATATATATATATGTATCGATCATCTAGTATACGTACTAGTGTAGTGTGAATATATATATATATATATATATGCTAGTCGTCGTAGTATGTACATGTAGTAGTCGTCGTCGTAGTATAGTCCCCCCACCCTGATTCACCCCCGGGCTCTAAACCCTGAGCCTCAAACCCTAAACCCTGACCCCCAACCCCTAAGCCCTCCCCCAAAAGAAACTAAGCCCTGAACCCACCCCTCCTGCAGATAACTCAAACAAAGGAGCTGGCCGCCCAAGCCGTCCACTTCGGCGACTGGCCACCTGTCCTCATGCTTGGCGATTTCGGGGTGACTATATTATACGTAGGGTTTATAATCCTAAGCCCTAAACCCTCAAGTAGAGGTATAAAATCTAAGCCCTAAAGCCTTATGTAACCTCCATCGAAGGCTGCCTCTAAGACTTACTTGATGAGTTCCTTTAGGGTTTGGGGCTTAGGTTTCAGGGGTTTAGGGTTTCGGAGGCACTCATCAGCAGCTCCTCAGGGAGTTCTTTTCAGGGTTCTTTCAGGGTGGTTTATGGTTCCCGAAGGCTTCGTCGAGTCTTTAGATCCAGTGCTAGTAGTGTCTCCCCACCTCGAATTCGACGGCTCCCTGTAGGGTTCTCGAAAGGATTATATATAGGGCTTTGTACGTGTGCTGTAAGGTTTCAGGGCTCGGGGTTGAATGTGCTTGAATATAGGGGTCGGAATAATAATTATATAATAAGTAGCCTATATACCCTAGCCCCTAATCCAGTTGATGAGCGGTGACTGCCGTTTCAGAAGCTTTCGGGTTGGTATCGGCAGTGGAATATATCCGTAATACGTATACTAGGATACTAATATTATATGTATTGCTATATATTGCTAGCTAGGTCATCATGTGTATATATATATATAATAATAAATACTACACATGTACATGCCAGCTAGCACACTTGCACAGTACGCATATTATAAGTACTAATGTAGCTAGACACACAGCTATAGAATTTATATAATATATATATATATAGATCGCTACACTACGTACTACTACGATACGACTACGACTTTACAACGTACTACTATACTACGCTACTACTACTATATACTACTACACTATACTACTACTATACTACTACTATACTACTACTACTACTACTACTACTACTAGTACATACTATACTACATCTACTACGACTACTACGTACTATATTCTACTACTACTACTTATACTACGATACTGCTATATAAATAAAATATATATATATATATATATATCATATATATGTACTGTACTAATAATATTAATGTATCGTGT